CTGTGCTTGATGACAGAAGTGCCTGTGGAGAGAGAGCGAGAGGGGAGAAGTGAGGGAAGAGGAGGGCTGGGAACACAGAGGAGAGATTTCTGGAGCCAAACTCATTAAAAAAAAAAATCCTCGGTCTGGTTGGCAGCCGAGAACCGTTTTTATATTTGGGTTTCGCTCGAGGCTCTACAAATTAGCGTGGTCTGTTCCAGTTGGAGTTTATAGCTCAGTTCAGTTCGAGTCTGACTCCCTGGTTTCCTGGAGGCTGAGCCCTCGGTGGGGTCCAGAGGCTATATCACTGGTTCCACAGAGGTGTGTTGAGTACCTACTACGGGTGGAGCACTGTTCTGAGAAAGGGAGATGCAGCTCTGAACGAGACAGACCTGCCTCTGCTCCTTTGGGGTTTAGGGCCCTGAGGAAATAAGGGAGTAAATATGCATATGGTAGCACACAGAGATCAGTGTCACAGAGAAGAGGGAAGCTGTGAGGATGGAGGGGGTCTGGGGCCGGCACGCCATGGGAATTGACTAATGAATGCCGTGGTCAGGGGATCTCTGAGCAAAGCCCCGAGTGGAGCCAGCCATAGGCCAGGTGACAAGTGGTCCTGGCAGAGGGAACAGAAAAGCAGACAGTGCAGGGACCCTGAGATGGTAGGAATGAATTTTGGGTTTGTAAAAAAAAAAAAAAAAAGCGGGAGGTCGGCATGGCTGGTTCGGATGAGTGGGGAGGAGGGAGAGCAGTAGTGCGTTCAAGAGGTCGGCAGGGGCTGGGGACAGGGAGGGTTTGGAGTTCACTCTAAGTGCGAAGGGGATCCACTGGGGGAGTTCTCCAGGGAGATGCGACCTGACTCCTGTCACCCCCATCCCTCCGGCTGCCGGGTGGAGAGAAGACTGAAGGGGGCAGGCATGGACATGGCCAGGAGTACGCCGAGTCCCGGCAGGATCCACTTACTTCCCTTTCGGTTGCCCGGTGGTCATTCTGACTGCTTCACGGAGAGCCTTGGTTTGGGACTGCTGTCTTTAATGCCTTTTCAGCACTTGCTGTGTATAAGAAAATACCCCCAGATCTTGCAACTTAAAAAACAACAAATATTTATTATCTCACAGTTTCTGGAGGGTGTGGGGCAGAAGCCCAGGAGTGGCACAGCTCAGTGGTTCTGGTTCCAGGTCTCTGACAAGGCTGCCATCAGGACGGCGGTGGGGGCTGCTGTCTCATCTGAAACTCTGCCTGGGGCTGGAGGAGCAGCTTCCAGGCCGGCGCCGTGCATAGCTGGTGTCTGAAGGCCTCTGTTCCTTGCTCGCTGATGACAGGAGGGCTCAGTTCCTTGTCATGTGGGTCTCCATAGAGCAACTGGCTTTGCCCAGAGTGAGTGATCCAAAAGAGGACCAGGATGAAGCTGTTGTGCCTCTCATGGCCCAGTCTCAGAAGGCACACCGTCCCTCCCATGTGTTCTGTTCGTTAGAAGCAAATCACTAAGTTTGACGCACATGCAAGGGCTTTGCCTGTTCAGGGAGGCATGTCCGAGGGCCCGTGGGCATGTTTTTAAACCACCATACTTGCCGATCTCTGGGTAATGGAGAACGAGTCGGCCTTGGGCCCAGAGCCTTGGCTGCAGATGGTACGTGGCTAAAATTGAATGACACTGCTTTGTGTTCATGGTGTGTATTATCAGGGTGACCTCCTATCTATGTTGCTTAATACTGATTTTCATTTTGTAGTGGCCATATGTACTTTAAATTTATTTAAGCTTTAAAAATGAGATGATTTAAAGAAAATTATGAGGAAATACTAAGTAGAAGGACGATGAAGGACAAGGGAGGTGAAAATGCCAAAAAGCAGGCAAGCGGCACGTGGCCACCGAGGCCTGGGCCTGTTGGCAGGAGGGGCCGGGCCACCTGGGTTCAAATCCTGGCCCAGCCACCTACATCTGTGTGGACAAAAGCAAACACCTAACCTCTCTAGGCCTCAGTTTCCCCCTTGATTAAATGAGGGAGCAGCCTGCTGCCTGGTGCTGTTGTGGAGCTCAGACAGACCAGAGTCTCCACAGGGGTTTGGCACAGGGCCCAAGACATCTCCAGGGCCTGACGAGTGTTGCCTGTCAGGAGCAGCACTGTGCTCTCAGCCCCACCGCCCTGTGGGGCTGCTCCCAATGACCCCCCCGGTGGGTGGCACGTGTGTGTGAGTGCGCGAAGGAGGGCTGGGGAGACAGACCCCTTCCCCTCTGCTCACACTGCGCAGTGACAGCAGTTATTAGTGAAGGGCAGTGAGACATCTTTGTTGGGTCTTCATCGGGTAGAAAACTGAGGTTATTCTCGAAGGGTAAGTAAGTCAAGCAGTGGTCACTTCACCTAGTTGCAGGCATCCATCCATCCATCCACCCGTCTGCCCATCCATTCATGTATCCATCCACCTAGCCATCGTTCTTCCTTTGATCATTCATTCATGCATCCATCCATCCACCATCCATCCATCCATCCATCCACCCAACCACATATCCATCTATCCACTCACCCACCCAGCCATCCATTCTTCTTTCATCCTTCCATATCCATTCATCCATCCACTTTTTCTTCATTCTTCCACATCTCTTCATATGTGTGTGTGTTTACCTGATTTCTCCTTTTCATTCATGCATCCATCAGTTCTCTCTTTTCCCCTCCAGGCATCCACCTACCAATCCATCTACCCATACAGTCGTCCAACTATCTAGACATTTTTCCATTCATTCATTCATTCATTCATTCATTCATACATTTGTTCGTTCGTTCATCCGTCCGTCTGTCCATCCATCAGTCCATCCATCCATCTGTCCATTCATCTGTCTGTTCATCCATTCATCCAACAGGCATTGCCTTGTGCACTGAGGACGTAACAATGAACAAACAGCCCCCACCATCAGAGAGCTCCAGTTCGCTCGTGGAGGCCTGCACACTGTGAGGGAACTGAGTGGAGATGGCCGGTCACCCTGTAATGGTGTAGTGAACCTGCTGTGTTCAGTGAAGGCAAGCACACATGGGTCTCACCTCATGAACCTCACAGTGGGTATGTCCACAGGGCAGAGGGTGTCAAAATGGGATGTGACCAGCCCTATCTTGCAAGGGAGGCAATACTTGAAGGGGCTCTCGAGGGATGCATGGGAATTGGCTGGATGGGCGAAGGAAAAAGAGTGATCGAGGCAGCAGGAATTGCTAGGCAAATCTGAGGAAGTCTATGCAGTTTAGAAGTGTCTGGGAGAGTACTGGGGGAGCATCTTGGAGGTTGGGGCCTGAGTAGTAGGTGGCTGGACCACTTGAACAAAACCTTGAGCACTGGGGAGGATAAGAATAGGCAGAGAGTAAATGGGAGCGGAGGTTCATTCAGGCCAGCCAGAACTCCGGGTATATCTTGGCTCTCTGCTGAGCCCGTGGAGACTGAGATTCATTCATTCACTCACTCACTTATTCACTCAACATTTCCTGAACACTGGCCATATGCTGGTGTGGGGCAGGCAGCAGTAAATAAGACAGGCAAGGTCCCGCCCTCGTAGGCTCACAGTGTGATTGGGGGCACAAATGTTAAACAGATGAGTCAATGCCAAGAGAATGCCATGCTGAGGAGCGAGAAGAGAGGTGGAGAAAATATTTCGGGAGAGAGGTGCCGTGGGGAGTGCTGCCTCCGAGAGGGCCAGACAGGTTCTCCCCGGAGGTGCCGGTTACACCGAGGAGCAATGGGGGGAGGGAGCTTCCAGAGGGAGAGAACAGCATGTATAGAAGCCCTGAGGTGGGTGCAGGCCTGGCCTGCTGGAGGAGGTAGCATGTAGTCTAGGCCCTTGTGGAGTCCTGTCGCCCAGCTTGTGACGAAGAATAAGTGCATTACAGGGGTGATCTCAGGAGTCAGGAACAGGGAGGCCTTACAAAACATTGAGGTAGTTGTTCTTTTTCATGAGTGCTGGGGAGCCATTGAAGGTTGTTGAACAGGGGCAGAGTTGCAAACACTGTTCTTGGGCAGCAGCTTACAGGATGCCCAGGAGTGGAAGGGCAAAGCTCCTGGGGCCAGGAGCTTCTGGGAATGCTGAGTCAGTGCCCCGGCTGTGAGGTCAGCCAAGCCTGGGTCTTGAATCCCTGCGCTTCTGTGCACTAGCTGTGTGATCTGAGAAAGAGACTCGCTCCCTGAGCCTCAGTGTCCTCACCTCTAGAATGGGAGTACTAGTGCCTATTTCTGGGGTTGTCATGGAGACACCAGGAGGTATAGCGTATAAAAAGACCCTGCCTAGAGTATGCACCTATAGCATGTACCTAGTGTGGATTCTAGCTGTTTCTCAGGCCCTGGGAGAACCATCATGTGAATTATTGGTAGCAGGCACCAACAGGCGGGAGGGCAGATCAGTCATGTCTGATTAGGTTTTGGGAGAGGAAGGGGGTCAGTGGAAACATGTTCTTGAGCCCAGAGAACTAGTTAGCAGAAGGGATCTGCCTAGAAGAGGAGATGGCACAGAGAGACGCGAGCCTTCTTCTGTTTCAGTTTTTCCTGCTGCAGAGGACCCTGGGGCCCCGTGAGCCCCGCGAGCCCCGTGAACCCCGTGCCTTTGGCCCTCACTGGAGAGAACAGACCCGAAAGAGTTACGTGGCCCCCTGCCCAGCAGCCTGTTCCGAGCTGTGCAGAGCCTGGGCATCAGGCACGCCAAACAACTGTTTTTGACTCACTGTTGCAAGGCTGCCAAGTGGAATTGCTTCCACATACTCAGCTCCAGTGGGAGGGGTGGAGAGACACTGCTTTCTCCACTGAAGGTGAAATGAACTGGCTGGGAGTCCAGGAGGGCGGCTTGTAGAGTAGTGGGGGGCATCTCTGGACCGGGGGCTGAGGCCCCCCCCCAGGCTGACAGGATGCCCACCTTGTGGACTGCCAGCCTGGCTCCCGGACAGCAGGAGTGGCAGGAGGGAGGCGGGCGGGCTGCGTCATGGGGCGCCTCTGCCTGCAGTCATCGGCAGGCTGGAGCCAGCTGCTCCGGCCTTGGCAGGGTGAACACAGAGCAAGTCAGCGCAGCCTCTGCAGTGCCAAGGCCAAGAGCGGGCTCACAGCTCCTGTTCAGCTCCTGCAGGCCTAGGCCTCTGTGCCTGCCTGGCTTTCCCCAGCCCCAGCCTGGCCCACTCTCACCCCTACATTCTCAGACCTGATGGCCGATTAAAACCAATGCCTATTGGGTACTTTCTGTGTGAGAAGCACTGTGTTAAATATTTTTATTTGTATTAGGTTATTTAACATGCATGAATCTTACTCCTTTTTTTATTGAGAGGGGAACAGAGGCACAGAGAGGTTAAGTAACTTGTCTAAGGTCACACAGCTAGCAAGTAGCAGGGCTTAGATTTGAACCCAGGAAGGCTGGCTTCAGAATTCATGCTCTTAACAGCTTTATGAAACTGCCTCCCACAATCAAGAGTGAGAGTGTAAACTCTAGCACCAAGTGTACAAGGATGACCTTTTCCTTAAATCTAAGTTAATCCAAGTGTGAGTCTCTGGGCACTTTCTTCATGGTTGCAAACTGGCTGCCAAAGCTCCAAGCATCACATTCTTACATGATAGCATCCAAAAGCAGGATAGGAAGGGGTAGAGGGCTCTCTTGCTTTTTCTTCTTTGGGGAAAGTGCTTTCCAGAAGATTTTAGCAAACTTGGGTCCACGTGTCCAGGGCTAGGTCACATGCCCATCTGTAATTGCAGGGGCACTGAGAACTTGAATCTCTGACCCTCTCAGACTTTCTGGGGACAAGCTGTGCCATCAGAAAAGGGGAAGGGGTTAGGAAAGGCCAGTGGGTAGGCAGCCCAGACCACCTCCTCACTCGCTGACCTGCAAGCAGCTTTGCACTGTAGGTGGCGCTGTCTCTATTTTATAGATAGGGACACTAAGTGCGACAGGGGCCTTGTCTGGCCTCTGTTGACCCGGTGCTGGCACTGAGTGTCTGGGCTGGGTGGCCTTCCTTACTGTCTGTGTTTTGGAATTGCCCCTCCAACTGGAGGCACATCCTCTGGCAGGCAAGGGCAGGGCAGTGTGGGAGTCATTCTTCAGTGTTCTCCGCACATGCTGTCCATGATGGCCATCGGCAGTTCTAGGTTGACATCTAGTGACCCCAGAGAAGAGGGAGAGTGATTCCTAGCAAACGTCCCAGGGAAGATTCTCATTGGCCCAGCCTGGGGCACATGCCCATCCCTCTAAAGGGAAAAGGAATATGTTGATTGGCAGCCCCACCAAGTGGGGGTGGAACAAATATACTGGTTCGAAAAAATGAAAAGGTTGCTTACTCTGCACGAGTGGGTGAAAGGACAGAGTGATGGAAAGTAAAAGGATGAATGAATGGATTGGTGGAAGGATGGAAAAATAGAATGGTAGTGGGTAGATGGATGGGTGGATGGATGAATGGATGTTTGGGCGGATGGATGAATGGATGGATGGATGATAGACGGTTGGATAGATGGAAAGATGGACAGTTTAATGGATAGTGGGTTGAGTGTGCATATGGTTCGACAGACAGATGGATACTTAGATGAATGGAGAGATGGACAAATAGTTGAATGTAAGGTTGGAATAGCAGGGTGGCTGGTTAGATGTAGCCGCTCTTCCTGCCTTCCTTAGGGGCCCTCTACCCGTGAGAGCATCCGGCGGCTACACTGGGTCTTCCTCTCAGGCAGCTGCCTGCCTCGGCTCCAAAGCCCATCTACACCTGTGTCAAGGACATTTCTGCTCCTTCCTCCTGTGAGTGTCTCATGACACTTACTGTTCCCCCAACACAAAGTAATGCCCGGTCACCTTAGACAATTTAGAAGATACAGGAAAACTTGCAAAAACTCACGGAGTGTCATGGCACCAGCCTCCGGAGACTCCCAATTCTGACCACTGGTGGGTGTCGCTCTGTGGCTCTTCTCTGACAGCCGCCAGTGCCCGTGCTTGGCTGACCCTCGGCCCTGGTTTAGGGGGTGCCAGGCTCACAGGCCCCGGGCCGGCCAGTCTAACTTCCCCGCCGTCGCAGGGTGGGAGATGGAAAGCCACAGGCCCTTTTGGCAGACACACAAGAACCAAGGCGCCGGCTTTGGTATGTCCCTTGGGAGGTACCTGTTTGTTGGCCCACGGCTGTGCCAAGCCCAGTGCTTTTACAGCTTCCTTAGGAGCTGCCTTCTGAACCCAAAAGAACATGTGAACCCCAAAGAGAAGCCTTAGCCACAGGTGCTACCTGGGGGCAGGGCTAGAAAAAGCTGCTGTCCTGTTTGAATTAAATGGTCTGCCCGTTTGAGCACCGGTCTCCTTCCCTCAGGCTCCACTTGGCAAGGACGGGGCCTCGGGCTGTGGATGGACTCGTGCATCTGGAGCAGAGAGGCGACTTGTTCCACTCAGGGTCAGGAGCAAAACAGACAGACAGATCTCAGACTGGGTCTGCTGCCCTGGAGGCCTCAGGAAGCCCAGCTGAGTTCCTGTGAGGCATCCGGTGACAGAGAAGGCGGCCCTCTCCCTGCACCCTCATTTGGTGTTCTTTCTGAGGCTTGGGGGTGGGGAGGGTTTTGCCAAAACAATTGCCCCCTGCCCTCTGATATGACACCATACTATGCCGCTCTGCCCAGGACACCAGCTCCTTTTCATTGAAGGCATCACCTCCTCCTGGAGGCCTCCCTGACTACACCAGCTGAAGAAAGCTTCTTTCCACCCCGGTTGCATCTTTAGGATCGCAACCCTACGTTTTTGTCCTTTCAACTGCGAGTAGATGCGTGAGTGGATGGCTCTACAGCAGCAATTTTCAACAGGTGCGCCGCGAGAGTTTTTAAAACATGCAGTACCTGGCCATTTAGACAGGGGCTCTGATCTCTTTCCCCTTTGGTCGTCAGATAAAAAAATGACAACAACCAACACAACAATAGCTGTCCGGGGTGAATGAACCAAAGCCATACCTATTTCGTGTGCGCGTGCTGTAGACTTCCGTCACTAGTCTATGTGAGGTGGGAAAGGTAGAGAATCGCTGAGCTGGGGCATGAGACAAGTGGCTGGGCTTTCGGGTTTGAGGCCTCAGGGCAGAGAGGGCGATGGGTGGGCGGGGGCTGGGAGTCCTGTGCTTTAGTCCAGGAACCTCTCGGGACTGCTGGCTCCGGACCGGTGCCCCACCCAGGCCTTGTTCAGTGAAATGCACGAGGAAGCAGGGACTCGTCTCATGAATCAGTGTGATTCTCTCCCTCCCTGCTAGCAAAGGGAGGCATTTGCCAAACCATGTTTATTGCCCAATCATTAATTTGTTTCTTCATTTTTTATTAATCACCCTGCCCAGCGTCCAGAGACTCAGATGGGGATGAACAGGCCCTGGGAGGTACTGGGTTAACAGAGTTGGCACCCCAAGCAAAGGAACTGGAGTGGAACATGGCTGGGGCCCTCAGTGGAGGGTGCAGGGCAAGCCAGCCTTTTGGGATATTTAGAACAGCTCTGGGGGCCTGTTTATCTACTCTCATTGGGTGGAATATGCTCTGACAGCACGCAAATTTGTCTGTGTTTACATGTTTGTGTCCCCATGTACACACGTGTGTGAACACATGCACACATATGGTATGGGTGCAGTATGTTATGTGTATGTTTGGAATCTGTGTGCCTATGTGGTGCATGTGGTGTGTGTGGTATGCCCACATATGCGGTGTATGTTCTCACATGGCTCTGTGCATGGGGAGGTGTGGTCCACATGCTTTCGTGTTTATGTGTGCATGCTGTGTGTGTCTGTGCATGCTGTTCGTGTCGGGGGTGTGCGTGGGTGGGGGCAGTGGGAACAGACGGACTGACAGGGGGTTTCTCTGGATGATTAATGGCCTCTGGAAGGAGGTGCCGCTTCCATCAGACACTCCTGGCAGGTTCGGAGCTTGGCACCCCGCCCACCTTCTGGTTGGGCCAGCCCAGGTGAGGCTGTTTCTAGCTGGGGTGGCGCAAGCCTGGAAGGCTGGGTCCTAGAGGGGACAGAGAGCCCCCTTCAGAGCTGCTTTGCCCTCCACCCCCCATATATCTATGGCATGGACCTCCCAGGCAGCAGCCCAGAACACAGTTCCTCAACCACCTCCCTATCACATACCCTGGAATAAATGCAGAATCCAGGGCCTCCCCTCAGGGACTTTACTTCAGCAGGCCCAGACCAGGGCCCAGGAGTCTGCATATTTAAGTATCACAAGGGTCTGATTCTGAAGGTCTTCAGACCACACTTAGAAAAACCCACACAAGGAACCTCGGCAAAGCCTAGGAAGGTATCCTCCCCTTCCCCTTCCTGACTTTGCCCCTTGGACATCCATTCTCTCTGCCTCTTATGTGCTGTGTGACCTTAGGCAAGTCACTTTACCTCTCTGGGGCACTTCCTTATTTTTGATGATAATCCTGCCTCTTACAAGGTTTAGGATCTTCATGGACCTCAGCTTCTTCATCTATGCAATGAGGTTAATACGAACACCAGCCTCAGGTTCTTGGAGGGAGTGAATGAGCTGTGTCTGAGGAGTCCCATGGGCACGTGAGTCACTGTCACTGTGGTTCTGTGCCCTGGAGATGGGACATGCGGTGAGATGGGGCCATGTGGCTCACAGTGGGCTGTCAGGGAGGCGCGAATCACTCCAGATCCTGGTAATAGTATCTGTGCTTACTGAGCCTGCTGCAACTTGTGGGCTCTGTCCTTATCATTCCCAATTTAGACCAAAAACCAAGGATGGAAGAAGTCACATGACTCACCCAGGGTCACTGGGCACAGGACAGGATCCCAAAGCCTTCACTCTGCCCGTGGCCCTGGGGTGATGGGTGAAGTTGAGACTGCCAGGATACCCCGCTGTTCCCTGCACCCCCCCAACACACACACACACACACACACACACACACACACACACACAGAGCGGCCCTGGGAATCGGCTGCAGGGAGGGTGGGGCTGGAGGGGTTGGAGGCGATAGAGCCACAGCCGACAGCAAATCCAGCCCAGCTGGGGAATTAGACCACATCTGGCTCGGTTTACACCAGAGAAACAAAGCCGGCTGCCGGCGCCTTTATCTGGGGGAGAAGGGGCAAGAGGTGGGGGGCACTCTACTCTGGCCTGCGCAGGACCTGGATGGAAGGGAGGTGCGGGATCTGGGCTCTGATCCCCCAATTCACTCCCCTACTCTCCCACCCCAGGGAGGTGACCTCATGTTCCTGGGGTGGGGTGAGGTGGAGGGGATAGACTGAGAGGTTGAGGTTCCTCATGTTTGGGGGGGCCGCACGAACAGGCAATCCTAGGAGCCCCAGACTCCCTCAGCTACCCTTCCCAGGCAGCTGGCCCAGACCACAGTGGGTAACCCCAACCCGAGGGCTCCAGGCACTGGACTGCATGCTCTTCCTTCTAAGGCCACGGCCCCCAGTCACTGAAGGGAAACAGCCAATAAAAGAGAGACTCAGATCAAGCTCTGAACCCCCACCCACCCCTCCCCCGTTTGCAAGGGGGGTGGAGTTCTGGCTTCCCCCTTCTGCAGGGAGGTGTTGGCTGGGGGTGGGGTGGGCGTTTCTGGCTCCCACTTCACCTCCAAGGGAGTTCTCATCTCTTCCCACCAGACCACGCTGGGTAGGGAGGTGTGGTGGCCCCTCCCCCAGGCCGTCCCGGGAAGCGCAAGCGGTGCCGGGCAGGCGGAGACGGCAGTGAGTGCGCGGCTAGCCGGAGCCAGGAGCTGACCTTATTAGCCGGGGGCAGCTGTTCGTGGTGCACATCTGGCAGCGGGCTGCGGCCGTGCCCCCTTCCCCCCGCCCAGCCTGCGTTACCTTCCAGGAATGCTGGCAGCGCCTCCCGCATCTGGAGCGTGTTTCTGGGGGCAGCCGGCGCTCCCTCCGGCGCCTGTCCCGGACTAGGGGGGCGCCCCACCCGGATTTCCTGGCTCCTCCCTCCTCTGGCTGCCAGTGGAGGCTCCTGGGCAGGCCCGGGGCTGGACCACAGACCGGAAAGGGCAACAGGACTTGGCTTTCTGACCATGGAGCTGGGGGACCTTAGGGACCAGCTGCTTGGCCCCCATGATAGAGAGGAGGAAAGGGGGATCTAGCACCTTGTCCAAGGTCTTGTGGCTTCCCCTGTGGTGTATGCTGTTGTGCAGCAGATGCTGATTTCACTGTTAAAATCACAAAGGTCTGAATCCGATAAAGCCACAAAGGTTGATTCCACACCCGTGTGGCATGTCCTGGCTGGGTCTTCACCTCTGGCGGGCTGGGCTATAAGCTGCCAGCCTGGGGGACACAGTGAGGAATGAAAAGCAGAGCAGTACCTTGTGGCTACTGCAAAACAGTCCAAGCTGTCCCCACCCTGGGGTCTGGCTGGTTCCCAGCCCAGCCTGGTCACTTCCAAGCTGTATGACCTGGCCTTGTGACATGACCTGTCAGTGCCTCAGCTTCATCTGTAAAATGGGTTGGTTGGAATACCTACTTCAATGACTGTGATGCTGTGGGTGACACCAGTGACTCAGTACCTGAGAACAGGGAGGGATGGGGTTTGACCTGTTTGGGATGGAGAGGGGGACACTTCCAAAAAGGAATGATTAAGCATGAGTCAGATGTGGAAAAGAGGGGAGGATGTTTTAGGGTGAGAGTGTGGCAGGCGCGCGGGCCGAGGTTGATGCAGCTGCAGCAGAGGTGGGAGGGCAGGCGGGGGCCGGTGGGAATGCTTTCTCCTGGCTGCTAACAACCAGCTTCTCCTGGACGTTGGAGCTGAACCTTGGGGAGCCCGGGACAGTTCCTGAGCAGGAAAGTGGCCCATGGGACCCCAGGCAGCACTTGTGTCCCCAGCTTTGGGCGGAGCATCCCAGGGACTGGGAGGGACAACTGCTGCCGCCTCTAAGGCCTCACAACTGTGCCCTTCCTGCCCCCACCAGGCCGCGCTGTGAGCGTTGCCCTGCTGGCCCTGCCACGCCCTCCTCAAGCCCTAGACTGCCCTCCCTGCAGGATCTGTGAATCCCATGGACCCCGGAGCACACTTGCCACCTTGACCTCACACGAGCTTCAGTTTATAGCTGGTATCCCGTGGAGAGGGTGAGACAGACTTCCTGGAAAAAGAGTGGAAGTGGGACAGAGTGGACAGAGTGGTCCAGCTGGTGGAGGGGACTGCGTGGGCAAAGCAGGAGACATGAGCCCAAGCACGGCACACACTGTGGGCGGCCTGTCCAGATGACGGGCGGTGGCGGACCGAATCCAGAGAGAGAGCGCAGACCGGGAACGGACGGCTGTGAGCTCCTACTTGGGGATTCGCCTTTTCTGAAGGTGCTGGGGGGCCACCGAAGGCGAGTGCATGAAAGCTGCATGGGGCGAGGCAGGTCTGTCTGCTGTTGCTTCTACCCCGGGACCTTCAGTGGGGCCTTTGGATGTTCTAGGAGCTCCCTGATCTTGAGTTGAATGAATAAAGGGTGCTCAGGGAGGAAGGCCAAGGGCTTGACCACAGTCAGGGCCAGTGGGGAAGAGTGGACAGTAGAGAGCTGAGGCCTGGGGTCCTGGCTTGGGCCACCCAGCCAATGGTGCTGTCAGATCCAAAAGGGGGGAGTCTTGGCCATGGGTGCAAGAGGACCTCTGGGTGGTGGCGTCCTGCCAAGGACACTTCACTGCCCAGGTTTCTTGCCAGGTCCAGCCGGAAGAGCTTAGGGACCTGACCCTGGCCTGGCGCCATAGGACACCCGGGGGAGGGGCCTCCCTCCAGCTCAGCCACCCACCAGCCTGCCCTGACCTCCCCCAGACACTGTGTCTGGCCTGCCAGCATCTGCTGCCTGCTTCCTCCCTCCCCTGGTGCGTGTTTGTTTTTCTTCCAGAACCATCGCCTCCCACAGAGGCAGTCATCCAAGAGAGGTGGTGTTCTGGAGACATCCCTCTGCCCTCTGCAGCCCCATCATGCCTCACAGCGCTACAGGGGATGGTGTGGGAGGCTGGGGCCCCCGGCGGGCAGGCGGCATCCTCGGGTGGCCAGGATTTCGTCAGCCGTTGGCTCCTGGTTCTGCTGGTGGAATCCGGAGCAGGCGTGAGAGCAGCCCTCGCCTCAGCGCCCTGGGAAGGGGCTCTGGAAGGCTTGCTGCTTGTCTTGGCCCCTCTCCCTGCTCCCTGTCTGCCCCCTCAGAAGAGTCAGGCAGGATTTGGGTTAGAGCTTCAGCAGGAGAAGGCTCCAGGCCCCAGCCTCGGAGATCTCCCTGGTGCCCCAGGACCCTGGACCCCATTGGGGCTGCCCCCATGGAGGCCTGGTCAGGGCAGGGGCATTTGCAGGGCGTTGAAGCTGTTCTTCTCTCCCCTACCCCCACCCGAGCTGTTCCCTTCCCTCCCTATTTTCTACTTTCATTTAGTTACTGCGTCTAACAGACACCTACTGAACAACTACTGTGTGCCTGGCTGATGACACTCACCTTGTAGGGCCCCATGCTGCTTAAGATGGGGCCTTTGTGTCAGTGTGGAGGGAGGTGGCCAAGAGGGTGCCATGACCAGAGCTGGCCTGTAACAGAACACCGGGACTGATGCAGAGGAAGAGGTCAAGGCAGCTCCTCTCCCGGGACAGGCTTGTATTGAGCAGGGCAAAGGGTGTGAGCAAGGCAGGGAGAAACGCTTCCCGGGACACTTGGGTGGGGAGAAGGGGATGCTGGCAGAGCAATGGGAAGGGACATGGGTGTAGCCCTAGGTGGGCTGTTCTGAGAATTCCACCCCCTTGCCCCTTGAGCCTTCCGGCAACCACCGTTCCTATAGGGCCATCGAGCCCTGGCTGCAGCTGTTGAGGGAGCCCACGCATGACCAGTGTGCAGGAGCGGGAGCTGAGGCCAAGAGAGGTGGGCAGACCTGGGAGACCTCCTTCTGGGTAACTCTGTCCCCCTCCCAACAGCGCCGAGGGGATACCCAGGGTCTGGGATTTTTGCTGTTTTTTTGTGGTTTGACAGAAATCTGTCTCTGGCATGGCCCCCCAAGTTTTGGATCATGACATTCTCGACTGGAACCCTGAAGATCCCAGATTGAGGGGCCTTCAGGCTGGGAGGCAGCAGGATCCAGAATCTGCCCCAGAATCTGCCCGTGGCACCCCAGGACAGGCAAACCAGCTGCCCTCATGGTGAAGAGACCTGTCAGTTGGGAAGGGACACCTGCAGCCCTGAAGGGATGGGGATGTTTTAAATCTTGACCCGCTGGCTGCAGCGTGCACGTCACTGTTGGTAAAAGTCTGTGGGCTAGTGGGAAACACCTCTCCGAGGGCCTAGCAAACTTAGCTCTGCAGCGCCACCATTTGGCTAGGTGGCTTTATGCATGTCACTGACCTCTGGGCCTCAGCTTCCTCATCTGTGAAGTGGGGACATCAGCGCTGCCTTCAGCGGGTTCTCGTGGAGATGAAAGGGTGCATACAAGTGCAGGGCTCTCGGCTGGCACGTCTGATCGATCGTGCATGTTTTCTGTGCTTTCTCGCAGCAGCCAGCCCAGCCGGTGGCCCCCCCTCCGGAACGTCACACCTTCCCTGTTCCTGGCAGCCGGTAGGAGCCTCCTCTCACCCCCACAAAAGGCAGATGTGATGTTCTGACCCCACATTTGATGTCCTGGCTCACTTTTGAAAAGCCTTCAAACGTAGGCTTCCTTTGCCCTTGGGCGACAGCCAGACCTGGGTTTGAACCTGGCTCTGACACTCTGCCTGTGTACCTTGGGTCATTGTCTCCCTTCTCTGAACCTTGGTCTTTGCGTCAGTAAAATGGGTCTGGTGATTTTGACACCAAAGCGTTGTGTGAGGAGCTGAGCACCTGGCACAGGGCAGATGCCCAGTGGACTGTGGTCCCTTGTGCTGCCTCCTGGGTCCTCCCTGTTCATGCTGGGGCTGAACTGTGCACATCTCTTCCCAACACTCCCTTGAGTGATGTCACGTTGGTAGCTCAAAATCAGTTGTGGTGGGAGCATTTCCACCATGGAAATTGGCACGTACCACAAATCAGTTGGGTTCTCTCTGCAGCCCCCCTCAGATAGGTGCTTGTGAAACATTTACCGCGCACCCCTGGAGAGGGGTTGCCAACCAGTAGGTAAGAACTGTGTCTTTGACCCAGCGCACCCTTCCAGTGCTTCGATTTAGGAATATGTCACATGGCTAGCAAGATTCAGGTGCCCATCTGCAAAAATCTAGAACCTTTGCTTTAAGTACTCAGCCCTGAGAAAATGGTCAGCAGGACTTCCTGGAGGTGGTGGTACTCCCTGCGAGGCTTTGAAGGGCTTTCTCCCCCATCACTATCCCCCACGCTTGTTTTAGGACTGAGGTTGAGCCAGACACCCCTTAGCATAGCGTCCCTAAGCCTCCCCTGGCCTGGAACTAAACAGACACCTGCCCATCCTCCGTGGTGGCTGCCGGGGAGGGAGCCATCCCTGGAAGGCATCTCATCTCCCAGTTGCTGTCTGCATCCTCTGTCAACCAGGTCCTCTTGGCTCCCCGCCACCCCCAGCGCCACCCCTACCCTAGCGACTTGGTCTGCCGCTGTCTCAGTGTTCCTGCGCTCGCCCTGCGGCCCACATTCTGAGATGTGTGACTTGAAGTGTCCAAGTGGCTTCCTGACACTGAGGAAGAGCTCAGTGCTTTCCTCTTCGCTTGCCCTAATACCCTCCCCCACCAGCCACTTCTGCCGCGTCAACCCCCAGGACCCCCGCAGCCTTCAGTGGTTCCCCCACTGGATGCAGCTTTGCAACAGGCCTTGGCCACATGTCTGTCCCCCTGTTGGGGGTCTCACAGACACATCAGAGGAACAGGTGGGGCTGCCATGTGGTGCTGGACAATCAGGTCTCCCACAGTAGTGCCCACACGTGTGACATGCACAGGGCACCACTGGCTGCAAGGGCGGGGAGGATTCACGGTTTGGGACTGGATGGGGCCCAAGGGT